GTAACTTTTTGAAACTTTCGGAATTTTAGAGAAATCAACCAAAAACGGATCAACGCCATTTTTATAAATGCTCTTTCCTGAATCAGAAAAAAAATAATACGAAACTTTGGAGACATTTTGAGAAAAAAATTTAAATTTCCTTTTAGACCCCCAAAATTAGTTAATCCCTTTCAAATACAGGTGCGTGCAACGTCAACAAAAACGATTAGAGAATATTAATTTTGGAGAAAAGGTTTAGTTTGTTATGGTATGGATTAGCTGCTAGCGTTGTTTACGGACATTAGGCGTTTTCTCGTACACCAATTTTTCTTATCAACGACTCACGGAAACTAAATTCTTACTACATAAGGTGATAAACGAAGTAATTTTCTAGATACAGTATTGAGAATTATCCACATTTTCGGTATCAGGGATCTACAATACCCGTGCAATATCACACATGTATAGATTACGCCAGGTACACCCTTTAGGATACTGAATCTACATTCTCTAGCTTCTGTTTCAATGTATGCGTATTAGTTTCGCATTATAAAGGGATGTCTGATCAAAATGGAGCACGAGGTGAAGGGAGTCCCATTTATGATTCCAAGATGCAAAATGAATTCTTCTGTGGGAGAGTTACCAGTCTTGATACAGGAATGTAGTAATTGTTTGCACGCCAAGTGCTGCGCTAGCTCTTCCTAAGTTAATCTACCTCTGAAAACTGATATCGTCAATGGTGCACCGCAAACTTTCTGTTAAGTATTTGTCATCTCATTACTTTTAGTCCCTCTGTTTTTTACCTCAGGGCTGCTCAAATTCCGGAATTAGTGGAGGGCATCTACACACTGTAGCTACTGTTTATAATTTAAGTTGCGACGGAATGTAGTTTCCCTCTCTATTTCTTTCAGAGTAGCAAGTAGAAGCTGTCACCGCTCCAAAAATATCTCGCGGGGGGGTGCATATTCTAAGGCCCAGGCGCATTTCAATATCACATTACCGTACTAAGCTTCTGAAGTTCCTTTACTTTCCACAGATATTCCACATTTTTATTCGATTGTGCGTTACTTAATAATACTTCATAATCACAGGGTTTATATAAAGGACAATATACAACTGTTTGCCATAGTGCTTGTTTTAACCGAGCCGTGCAGAACACTTTATTTCTAAAAAACGTCTCCCTGTTTGAGCAATGTTATGTAAACAAATATTGTACTGGTTCTGGAATTTTATTTTCAAACTATGGTTGCCACTGACAAATGAGTACTAAGTTACTTCACATACACGAAGTTTAGAAGCGACACGCTACACCAAAGTGCATTTAAGCACAATATGTGTTATTATCATATTCAAAAGTATAGTATTAAAAACCATCCAGTATAGACACATGGTGATTAAATATACATAGATATACATAAATATATATAGATGTAAATATGACACATATTGGTAACACCTACAATTCCAAAGGTTCAAGCTTACAGGTTGAAACAGCACAAATGTTACAATACAATGCGTTCAAGTTAAAAAACCGTAGAAAAATACAATGTGATTAATGAACATTATGATAAACATATCTTACAGAAGGTATATATGTATATCAATAAAAAAACGACATTCCCTTGCCAAAGTCCACAATTGATAAATAAATATGTGTTAGACAGGATACCTTTTACACTGCTCTCCCATTTTTATTAAAATTCGTATCAAATTCCGTTTTATATTTCAGATCCGTGTCTTACTATTTCGTATTTTTCATATTCATTTAGTTTCGTGTAGCTTGCAATGCAATATGTAACCATAAAAACTAAAGAAAGAGAAATATTATACAGGAGACGGTACATTTAGGAGGCATTTTCGATACATGAAGGAGCTTTTCTGCTACTCTCTCTCTCTCTCTCTCTCTCTCTCTCTCCCTCCCCCTCCCTTCCTCCCAGTTTTCTCAAGGAGAAGGTGTAGCTCATTATCAATTGTTTAACATTCAGGTCTGAGGGAGGAGAAGATGCAATCGCAGTCAAGAAGTAAAGTCAGCAGAAAGAGGAATGAGCCGTCCAAATATATAGCCTTTACACCATTTCGTGTAAATTACATGGGAATACCTCTAACATTTATATTGGCCCCAAGAAACTACACGCTTGGTATAAATTAGCGTATGTTGGTTATCATGAAGTTTCGTGGTTCTCGTAAGCCATTCCCTCATCCAATGTG